AACCTCCGTGCGCCTCTGAAGCCCCTGGACTGCTGGGGTGCGCTGGCCCTGTGCTGCTTCCTTCTCCTGTGAAGGTCAGCGCCTCCTCCTCCACGGCTGCGGCGGAGTGTGGAAAGGTGCCACACTCTAAAATGTTTGCTTATTCCAAGCGATTGAGGTGTTTGAATTAAATTCATAATTTATTTTATCACTGCCACATCTGATTCCCAAGAAGAAAGTCAGATAACATAAGAACAAATCTACAGATAATGCCTAGCAAGTCGCATTTCCCACAACAAAACCCTGACGTGCTTCGTGACAAAATATGAAACACGTTTCTGGGCCACCTACTCATGTTTGAGAGCTTGTGTGGCATCGATTCTTTTTCTATCAGTCAGCACACAAGCAAATTCATACAAAAACCTAACTCCAGATAATTGGGCCAAGATTCAGAAGTTAAAGTCTCTACATATCAATTTACCTAAAATCTAATGAAACTCTATCATTCTCCTTTCTTCTTCCTCCCCATGCTTCAGAATACAGCATGTTCCTTCTCACCTGGGCATCCAGGCAAGGTAGAAAGGACCCTCGGAGACCACTAATACGGCACACCCACTGGGAGCCTTCTTTTTTTAATTTTTTTTTTTTTAGTTGTAGTTGGACATGATATCTTTATTTCAGTTATTTATTTTTACATGGAGCTGAAGATAGAACCCATGGTCTCACACGTGCGAAGCGAACACTCTACTGCTGAGCCCCAGCCCCACCCCGCCCCGGGAGCCTTCTTGACACAGCCACGCAGATCACACTCTTAAATCAACAAGCAAGGGCTGAAGGATGGCTGGGCACAGGGGAGACAGGTGCTTGCAGGGACCTTGTCCTCACAGCACTCATGTCAGCGTTCAGGAGAGAGAACTGGCAGACAGCAAGGCAAACTGGCATGTTCTTTGGGCCTGCTGCCGAGCGCCTCCCCGGGGAGGCAGCCCTCCCTCCCAGGAGCACCCTCAGCTCCAGTTCCAGGCCTCCAGAGCCCAGCAGCTGATTCCTGCACACATGTGCCTCTCCCCACGGGACCACAGCGGAGCACTGCGTCTCTTTTTCCTCGGGGTACCCAGCAGGGGCTGGCGTCAGCTGAGACACTGAAGTGCTAGTCACTGAGGACCTGAAGGAGCAGAAGAGGACTGCAGAAGCCGGCGGAGGCCAGACTACCTCTGAACCATCAGAGAGGCTGTCCACGGGCGCGGAAGTCAGGCACAGTCCTGGAAAGCGAGCCAGAAGAAGAGGGGACACGGCGTGGGGATGAGCATGGCATGTTCTGGAGACCCTGGGAGGGACTGTGTCCCTTCAGCAGATGGAGCATGATTGAGTTGTACTGAGAGGTCTAGAGACACAAGCAGGGAAGAGTAGGAGACTGAAGACCGGCTCTCTTCTTGGAAGTTCTGCCAAATAGGGATCTGCAGAGAGGACAGGTGTGGGGCCCCGAGGCTGGACAGGCAGGACGGCAGATGCAGGGCAGGGGCAGGAGAGGCAAGAAGGTTGGGACCAGGGTGGGAAAAGTATGAAGACAAAGGAAGAAATCAATAGGAGAAGCAACAGGAAAGAAAAAAAATCAATGGGGTGTGGGCGGTGAGTGGATATGGGGAATTAAACCAGGAACAATTAACCAGTGGTTGGCAGCAGCCATGAGGGCATCCTCAGAATCAAGGTCCCAAAAGACCCCACTCTTACAAGGTAGGGATGTGTCTCGATCCCAGGCCCTCCTGCCTTTAACCCTGAGCACCTGCTCCAAGCTCAGCAGAGGACGTTGTGCTTCTGGGTTGAGTACTGACCACTCTTGGCTCTTAGGCCATCATACTGTGTGACCATCTCCCAGGAAGGACCACAGCATCCTCTTCTGGCTGCCAGAGACACTACTTGGGTTTTCCCGAGCAAGGGGACAAACCTTTCAAGACGCCAGAGTGGATGCCGCGAAGGAAACATGTGATGGCCTGTTTTCAAAAAATGGCTGATGGTTGTTATGCACAGATGACCCCCAACTGCTGTTGGTCTAGGAAAGAATTAAAGAGCCAGACCTGGAAGAACAGAAGGTGACACCGCGCCGGATGAGGGGTGGAATTCATTTTCAGGAATAAACCATGACAACTCTTTGGTTGTCATTGTCTAAAGTATACAACATCCACACCCTGTTTTGCTTACTTTCTTTCCTCCCCACCACCAACAATGACCTTGTACATTCTGAACATCAAAACTTCATCCTACGTGCACCTACAACTAGGCATGATCGGTCACTCTGCTCAGAACAGTCCCTGTTTCCACATCTCGAGGAATTTACTGTGCACACCCCCTTGGCCTGCCTAAGTTTTGCCTAGCCTGATGGCGTCTTTCTCCAGGATGATGACCCATTCCTGAGGTCTCCTTCACTGCCCATCAGCTCCAATAGAAGGGGAAAAGGTCTCTCACTTCAGGTGGCTCTGAATTCATGTTCTGTTGTTCAATTCTAGATTAAATCATCCCCACATCATTTGTAGTCCACGAATCAAGAGGAAACCTCAAGAATTCAAACCAGACAGTCCTTCCACACAGACCACCAACATCAGCTCCCAATATCCTGGTCAGGATTGTGCACATGGTCTCCTGGGGCAGGATGTCTTCTCCTCATTCAGCTATTGGCTTATAAATAGAACCCTATTCCAAGAGTTGCTCATGGCTCTTTCTTCCTGGCTGAGCTGTCTCTGCAGTAAACCCAGAGCTACACAAAGAATTGATCAAACCAAGAAAAATAACAGTGGGCAGGGATCCTTCTGAAGGTAATAGGGAGACACTGGCATGGCCTTGCCAGAAAGAGAGATTGCATCTTGAACTCGGAATGATTTCAACCAACTTGGAAGCAGAAATGCTGCCCTGGGTGTTCCAATATGGTGTCCTAAGGTCAAACTGAGAAGCAGCAGGAAAGCCATCCTTCTTTAACATAAGTCATTTTTAACGCCCCCCCCCCCAAATAGTTCTAATTTTAGTTTCAGCTATGTCATGAATCAAAACATGCCATTTAGTAACGATGTATATATGTGTGTATACATACATATAAGCATACATACATACATGAGTGTGTGTGTGTGTGTGTGTGTGTGTGTGGACTCAGCACAGTCAATAGCAAGGCAAAGTGCTCCCCATGTCCACTGCAGGATTGTCTGCCTGTTTTCATGGGAGTGAGAATTCCGTACAGTCTAAAGTGGAGAGGCCACTTCTTTGTGTCCTATCAACTCTTGCTAACTCAAACCTCTTCTGGACCCCAAATGACCATCCAGGGAATGGGGGCAAACAGGACACTTGTGATGGTAATCTAAGTGTACCTCTCAGCTCACTGAGAACTACAGTCCTGTACCCCACCGTCTCGGTGACTGTCAGGCTGATGGGGGAGGCCAGAGGAGATAGAAAATCAGTTCCTTTTACATCCTTATGGGTGATTTGGATGAGTTGTTGGAATCAGATTTACTGAACTCTTTTTGGACATTATTAACAAAGCTAACTGCTGCATATGAGGTTAATTTTTTACATTGATGTAATGTCTCATTTGGAGGAGGCATTTTTTTTCCAGTGGATTTTCACCAACATCATAAAATTTTGCTAATTCATTTCCAGTAATTTAGATTCCGTGTGGACAGCGGATGAGCAAAGGTTAACGTCAGTATAAGCTGGAGCTCAAAGAACTAAGTAAATAGTGAGACATAAATGAAGAGGGAAGTCTGCCATTTTCTGGTCCTTCTAAACCTCCATCCAAATCCAAAGCATCCGTCCTTGGCAGATGGGATCCACTCTCAGGGGCAGGCCAGTGTACCCCTCTGTGGCCATGGGGGTTTTACACAGGTGGCCGACATAATTGATGCTGGGATTTTGCTGGTTAAATGTGTGTTCTTAAATCAGAAACAAGAATGAACCGAGGCAGCACCTACGATGGTTTCTCTTCTGCCTGAAACTTGCTTTGAGCTCCAGGAATTTCCCTCTTCCCAACTTCAGACTTGATGGTCATCAGTTCTGAAATACCAAGGTTTCACCACGGTACTCCACACACCTAGAGAACAGGGCAGGGCTTCCATGCGAGTCCTCTGATGGAAGCTCTGCAGCTAGAGCTCCCTCCATGCTCGATCTCAGGAAGACACTGAATTCATTCAGTTACCCTTGTTCAGTGCTCTGAATCAGCAACCTCTGAAGAGAGAACAAATGTCTGGAAAATATCCTTTGAGTGTTATTGAAGGAAATTAAACTGGATCATGAATCTCACTAAGGCACAGTCCAGAATCTATAGCAGGTAGTGTTGCCTCAAGGAAAAACAACTCCCACTTCTGAAGAGTCAACTGGTACCTAGAAAACAGGTCTCTGCGTCAGTTCCTTCACAGCACAAGTTCACTGAGCGACAAGACCTTCCACACTGGGAGCTGTGATTTCAAGAACAGCACAGCCGTTCTCACGACTCGAGACTCTCAGGCATGCCCTCAGCATGTGGACTGAAATGCTGGCCCAGTTAACCTTTAACTCCAGCTCTAAGGTGTCTCAATAGTGGGGAAGCCACTTGGAAAACCAATAATTTCCCACAGCTCCTGGTGACACTCATCCGACCACTTGCTAAGCTTTGGGGCTATATCAGAGGCCCTGGGCTTCCTTCTGGCCTGCCTTACCTAGGAGTGGACGGTGTCAGGACACACGCACCACATTCCAGAGCCAGCCTGGAATGCTGTGAGTCCATGCAGACATGGGAAGAACAGACATCATCCCAGGGAGGGCCTCCCTGTGAGCCGACAAAACCCCCTGACTTCTGCAGATTAGAAGTGCAGATGACAGACAGGTCAAGTCCATCCTATTTCTAACTAAAAATCAATTGCAGATCCCTTCCTTTGAGTAATTTCTCTTGAAAACTAACATACCTTCTGCTAAATACTCTCTCAGTCACCTGCACATGTGTATGACACAGGTACACACACATGTGTGCACACACTATTTTAAGATTCCTTTTTTTCCCTTTTCAGGGCTTCCTCAAAACAATGAAAGGTAACCTTTGGAGACTGCCTGCACCCAAATCTAATCATTTCTGGGTTTTTCTCATTCAGACACAAGTGTTCATGCTTGCAGAGACCTGCTTAAAGGTGAGCACAGCCTCTGCCGGGCTTTAATTGGCAAACTAAGGCAACCACACTGAGCCTTCCTCTACACCCCCAGAATTGGAAGACATACACAAATATATATCTTAATATCACCACAATGTTCTGGGTTTTTTTTTTTTCCTGGTAAAATTTGGTGGACTACTTTCTTGTACCTAAACATTATTTCATAAGTGGTTTTCTATGACACTAAATAATCTCTATAATTATCATTTTAATGGCTGCGCAGAGCGAATGTACGCCATAATTTACTTAACTGTTTACCTATTGTTAGGCATTTAGCTGCTTCCATTTTTCACTGCTTTAACTTGGGATGAACATTTTTATATAAGCTATGAATTTAAGCAGCATGCAAAGATGACTCTCCATCACTAATCTAAAAATACAGGGTTTATATATTTACAACTCACATTTGATTATGAAAGTTAATGAGAGTAATTAAGACATTTATATTCTAAATAGCTCCTCACTTCCTAGTGCTCCCTGAGCCTGACGGGCTCCACCATGACCGGCCACGTTCACCTCAATATGCATAGTCCAGTGAATTCTGAACCTCGATTTCCTTAGGAAAAATAAACTCCGAATCCTACTGCTATAGAGCCAAGGGATTCCAAGGACCAGAGGGCTCTAGGGGTGACCCTGCCAAGGCAAGCCGTTGTTCCAAGTCCCGCATGGGTTTCATGCTCACTCCAAACTTAAAGGGCAACCCTCCCTCAGTCTGTGCTCTGGGCTAGATGTGTTCCTGGGGTCACCTTGCCTAACCTGAACACAGGTGCATCATGGGAACAGGCCAGGGACACTGCTTGAGGAGCTTCCACTTTTGATGTTGACCACAGGTGACTTCAGGTGACAGATTCCCTGCTTGAGGATAGTGGTTCAGGTGTGTGGGCTTCACACAGACTCTTGCAGCCTGCTATCCGGGCGGTTCCAAGCAGGTTACAAAAGAAAATCTTATGCCTCAGTCTACGGTGTGAGGATGACGCGCCCCACGAGGCTGCCGTGGGGGCAGAGTGAGAAAACGCAGAGTGAGGTGTGCCCGGTAGTGCTGGCAGTTCTTGAGGACACAGAAGTACGTGGCCTATGTGCACATGAGCCCGGCAGGGTAACGTGATCTTCTCACCCGCTGACGGGGTGCGTGAAGGAATCGTGAAGGAAGGGTACCACTGGTCCCCAGGACAGCCTTCTGTGGGGTCACCTTCCTCTTTCAGGACAAAACCACCATGTTAATATAACCACAATAAGTCTGAGTCCCCAGTACACTGTAAAGAAAGAGCCTGCAAAGACGAGTCCACCTTAGAAATTCCTAAGGTCCAGGATAATTCCATCTGAAAGCTTTAGAAAATGTCATCCAGCCATCAAAAGGAAGCCCTAGCCTATCTGCAGCGAAAATAATCAGCCACACAGGTCCTTAGCTGTCTTCCCAATCGGAGCAATCAGCACCATTCAGTACTACGGCTCCCAACCAACCAAGCTGGCCAAAAGTCCTAAGTATTAACCATCGTTTTTACTAATACGGAAATGATGTCTATGCACTTAGCAACTCTGTAAAGCAGAGAAGAGCTTAGAATGTTCTTTTTATTATTATTATTGTTTTGCCACTAGCAATTAATTTCTCTGATTTGTTTTATGAGTTTGATGGTTGGGTCCAACATTCAGAATATCTTTCCAAACCAGTAGAGTGATGTAAGAACATTAGTTCAGTGCAGTTCCCAGCAAATGGTGATGATGAATAGCAGGGAAGGACAAACTTATTCAGACACACATTTTTCAGTAGTGGCAGGGAAAAGGCTGAAAAATTACTAGTAAATTGCTTCTTGTAAAAATGCTCTCTCTTTCAAATTTTCCCTAGCATGAAGGTCTTCTGCAGAATGATGGCACAATCCGTCCTGACACCCCCGGACGACAAAGGCAGTTAAAAGATGAATATGAGATAAGATTGAGGGTTGAGAGTTCATTTTCTTATTTTACCCACCTCCTCCCTCCAAGTTTCCATGCTCCACCCCAAACCACGCTATTCTGTGTGCATCTTTTTAACCTGTAGGAATAAGTGCCTCTAAAAGATATCTCTTACCTCCCCGAGCAGGCTTTCCCTGCCCCATCCACCATGCGTAATCTAGGCCTTTGCAGAATGGAACGGGGTTATTGATGGGTCTCTGGACTGTTCCTTTTTCTTCCCTAGCTTTCTACAACTGTCCTGTTGGTGGAGTTTCAAGTTACAGAGGTCTCCTAATATCCCCAGCACCTGGTAAAGCACCAAAGCCTTTTTGCTTTCTCTGCAAGCCTTGCCTTTCGGGACATCTGGGGAATGATGGAACGGAGCCTGAGGCATTCAGGGCTGAAATGGCTGGAACAGTGGTCTGGGCTGGGATGGTTTTGCCCCCCAGGCTCATTCTGCAATGCCTAGAGACATTTCTAGCTGTCACACCAGGAGGAAGGTGTGCTGCCTCCAGGGAGTGGGTTGGAGTCAGGGCTGCTGCTGGGAACACTTTGCTCTGTGCTGGAGAGCGCCTCCAACAACAAGCTGCCTGGCCCGCCACGCCAGTCCTAAGCAACTGAGGACCCTAGCCTGAGCTGAATCAGATGCTGCAGAGATTACTTTCTGTTACCTCAAACACGATTAGCAGTTAGTTCGTGGCATAATGTAGGAAGAACTTGATTTTTCTGAGCCCTTCATTCAGTAAGCACTGTTGTTGGTCTGCAAGGTGCCAAGACCTTGTTGGTCCAAATGCAGAGGTCAGCTTAACAGAAGACCCTACTGTAGAGAAGGCCAGGAGTGTAACACACTCCCAGACAGGGGTTGCGAAGTTTTCTCTCTTCTTCCCCTGAACTGGCCTGTGAGGCTGACTAAGGATGTGGGGAGGCGTTGGACCTCTGTTCCCTGGATGCCTGGGTCCATTAGAATTAGTGGAGGTGGGTATGGTGGATCAGAACTTTGTTCCAAGCTGTGCTTCTTCCTTGCTGTGTGATGCAAAATAAGCAATTTAAACTCTCAAAACTCTAGTTTCCTCCTTGAAATGGGAAGGGTGGCATTGACCTTCAGGGACATAGACTTCCATACATAGATGAGTAGAGGTTCTGGCCCACAGGTTCTGGCAGTTGGTGCTACAAGTCTCTGGGCTGGGTCCACAGGCTCCAGGACAGTGCCTGAGGTCTGTCAACACTTGGCCCCAGCCACCAGCATTCTGCACAGGACCCTCTCCTGGGCCCTCATGGCTTCACTGTACGCTTCTCAAAACAGTGGAAAAGTAAAACCTAGGCCCCAAACAACACAGTGAACTGTATTTTCTTGCTTTAAGTTCAGCCTTCAGAAAACTTATTCCACGTACAATAAGCAGCTGTAGATCTGCCTAATAAAGTGAGGGCATTTCACCCACTGGTGTTCCCCAAGAGGACTCATCGGCCACCTGCATCTTTTTAGCTGCATTTAATAATTCAGCCCAGGATGAATTTGCATGATTAACATAAAGCCTCGTGATTTTATTTTCTTTCAGGATTTAAGGACTAAACAACTACCATTGTTTTCATTTTCAGAGGCTGTGATCAAAACACAAAACTTGATTCTAGAATGAATAATTTCTTTTTTTTTTTAAGTATTTTTAAATACCACTCTCCATGGAATCAAAGAAAAGAGTTGCTACTGCTCTCTTTTGTCAAAGCCGGGAAACCCAAACGCCTTTTATGTGTTAACCCATGAGAAACAAGCCTTCCCTCCACAGTGTGTCCTTGATGGCACTGCCAGGCAGGTGTATGGCCAGCCCCCAAAGGGACCCACCACAGCCAACTAGATCTATTAATTTCAGTTCTTCGCCGCAGGCCCTCCTCACATATCTGCTTGGGACCTGGAATCCCAGGAAGCCCTTAAACAGCAGTTCTTTTCGATTCCAGTAATAGATTAATCACATCATCCTCCAAAAAAAAAAAAAGGAGTAAAAGCCCAGTAAGTTGTGTTTGTGAGCCATCTTCCTACAAGTGGAGACACATGTGAAGGAGAATGTGCAAGGCAGGCGAGGCAGCATCCTGGGTCCCTGATGAAGGTAGTACAACAGGTTGGTCTAACAGGGAAACATGCATTACTATCAAAAGAAAGCCCAGTGTATCCCACGTGGAAAAGCAAGCAGGCTTTAACATCTGAGAAGCAGCTCTTGCTGTGCCTGCCAGGAACTCCCCGCCGGATTTTTCTTAACAGAAAGGCTGACCTCACCTGTTTAAAAATAATTAGGGAGCCAGCAGTTGTAATTTTGGCTACAAGTCCGTACTGCCGGTGTTTGCCTGTGTATTTCTGATCCAGTGACACCTCTGTTGCTGTCTCTGAATGCAGGAACCATGGTCAGTAAGGAATCCGGCAAATGCCAACTCACAACGCCCGAGAGTGAAGTGGAGCCGGCTGCCTGCCTGGCCCTGGAGATGAAATACGCCCTGGATCCCAACCGGCAGATTAAAAAACGGAACAAAGCCCTGCAGGTGCGCTTTAAGGATATCTGCGAGGCCCAGAGTGAGCAGAGGGACACGCAGCTCTCCTCCTCCGGACAGCCAGGAGAGAAGAGGGAGGCCAAGCCCGTGTCCTGCAGAGCAGCTTATCGTAAATACATGACAGTGCCCGCACGCCGCTCCATCCCCAACGTCACCAAGAGCACAGGCGTGCAGACCTCGCCGGACCTGCGAAAGTGTTACCAGACATTCCCTCTGGACCGCAAGAAAGGGAGCCTCAAAAGCCTCCCAGCTGCAGATCCCTTCAAAAACCAAAACAATGGGTTTCTAGCAGACACCAAGGAGAAGAGTGAGGCGGGCCCCATGGAAGAGTCCCGGCCATGCATGGCGGGGCGCATTCACAAGACCACAGCCTTGGTTTTCCATTCGCATGAGCACGTGAATGCTCTGGATCAGCCTCCGGGGGTCAACTGCGCAGAGCCCTGCAGAGACCCCGGAGTGCTCAGCCATCCAGAGGGTCCTCTGCAGAACTCCTCACGGCCTCCCCCCCAAGAGCCTGCTCACCAGCTGCAGGGGCGAGCAAAGCCTGATGGGGGGACCCCAGACTCTGAGGAGCCCGCTCTGCCCGCCCATGGGAGGGTGTTTAAAACGGAGGTCGCCACCGTGTACGCACCTACCATCAGTGCCAGGGCCCCTGAGCCTGGCTTGTCAAACTCTGCTGCCGCCAGCCAGTGGTCCCTCTGCCCTGCAGATGAGGAGCAGAGGAGAGCCACACATCTCAATGGGCTGCAGGCGCCCCCGGGCTCTGCTCTGGCCTGCTCGCCCCCAGTGCAGTGCCTGTCCCCCGAATGTAGCGAACAGCCCCTAGAGACCCAGCCCAGTCCCACAGCTGTGGCGGCGGGTGAAGAATGCCAACAAATCGTGCCTCACACGGAGGTGGTGGACCTCAAGGCACAGCTTCAGATGATGGAGAACTTGATCAGCTCCAGCCAGGAGACCATCAAAGTGCTCTTGGGGGTCATTCAGGAGCTGGAGAAAGGAGAGGCCCATCGGGAAGGGTATGTATGCCCACCATGTCTAATGTCCTCTTGCAGGCCCACCACCCCGTCCATCTGTAGCCCACAAAACCCAAGTCCTTAAGGAGACCAAGGCCAGCATTTCTGTGAATGGGCTGTAGTCTAATGCCCCATGCTATAAGGGGTTACACACACTGTGTTAAAGGGACAGGACTGGTGGCACAGTCCCCTTCAGGGAATATACTCACTATCTGGGCTTGAATTCAATCTGAACCTATATTTTGAATGAACTGATGCATCTTTCCTTTTAATCTACTAGGACTAAAAGTTTATGATCTTGATAATGCGTAACACATATGCCAGTCTATACTATCTGAGTAAGAACCTATTTGCGTCTGAGGAACTATATTATGAAAGAGAAAACAAGTTCAGATGGTATTGGGAAAAGTAAAATCTGACTTATAAGCTTATAATAAATAATTGGGTTGACACTGATATTCAGGACTATACACTGTTTTATTTAACAGACAATATGCTTTTCTTTCTTTTTCTGGAGCACACACAGAAATAGTGCCCCCTCCTTCAACAGGATATGATTAGGAGACAGATGCCCATTCCCATGGGTGCCCTGTGTGTCCAGTTGGGCTGCAGAAAGAAGAGTACCAAGTTCACGGCCAACACTGTCTAGCACCTCTAAGAGCCTGCTGCACGTGATGGTCTTTTGAAGTTGAAATTGTGCAGCAGCATCTTTAATAACAAATTATCTAAAGACAGACCCAGTTGTGAGGTCCTCGGTTAGGAACCCACCAGTAAGCCAGGCATGGTGTTAGGTTGACACACTGGGTCAGTGGCCTCAGGTTCCAGGCTGCTCCTCACCAGCCTTTGGACTGCCATGCCTGCTCCTTCTCTGTGCCCTCGACCATGCCTCGCCTTGCTCCAGTCAGTGTTCTGGAGGCTGGAACTGAGGATGAGCTTGGCTGATGTGATCTGCACCCTTCCCACTGTGGGCTGCAGGAGCTGGCAGCCAGCACGGAGAAGGTCAGCCAGGCAGTGCATTACCAGGGCAGCCTGCCACCCGGGCACCAGCTCCTCAACAGGACAGGATTGCAAGCAGAGGAGAAGAAACAGCCTCTGAATTCCAAGGCAGGAGCTGAGGATGCAGGGTCACTCCAGTGGTGAGGGACCTGGTGCAGGTCTTGTCTTGGCTTCTGGCTGCTCCAGCTGAGAGCAGGGGCCTATCCACAAAACGAGGGAATGCTTCATGCCATCCCCTCTGATTTACACAGGGAAATTGCAGTTGTTGCTATTAAACAATAAGAAGCGCCAGCCAAATGTAATCTAACAGGAGATTAGGATAATCTAGCACGGTGGGATTTTCAGAAAGCCTTTGTTAATCTTGAGTTCGTGTCACCATTTCCATCCCACTTCAGTCATCTAGACTTGCGTCTGTACATATCATAAAACAACACAGGGGAGGCGGAATGTGACAGCAGAGTCCACTGATCAATAGACCCCATTCCCTTGGGAAAAACTACAAGCATAGACAGTGACTCCCAACCTGACTCTGAAGTGACTGGCAGTAACTTGAGCTAGACAGCAAATCAGAAGGAAGCCAACATAGCCAGGGGGGAAATAATCCACCAAACGGCATAAAACCAAACATGTCCACTGCTGTGCATGCTCACAGGATGTGTGCCAGGGAACCGTGATGGCTGCACACCCACAAACACCCTCTCAAAGAGAAACCAGGCTGTATTTTAGGCTCTTCCTGATGCTATTAGGATACTATGACCATTGTATTCAACAGCATCCTCCGGCTTCTCTGAGACTCTTCCTGCCCAGTGAGATGGTTTGGTTGAGTAAGACACATGCAGGTGGGATTCTGGCTCCACTGACTTGGCCTGGGCTCTACCTCCCTGTGCCTCTTCTCCTCGCCTATAATTGGAGAGGCTGATTGCCAGTCCCTTGGTGGGGAGAGGACGTATGGGTGACCTTCTCAGGGGATCCTCCCAGTGGCAGATGTCCTTGGATGGGTGGGTGTCCGCCAGTGCGTGACAGCTGGTCTTGTTGGCCAGTGATGTCAAAGACAATCATTTAGAGGCCTGCATTTGAATCCAGCATGATGAGTGCACATCCCCCATACTGGGCACACACCTCCAACCCAGGTGCCATCAGTCACATGTTGCTAATGAAACTCAAAGTCACATTAATTAATCAGTCACAATTGAAAATTCAGTTCCTCGCTCACACAGGCCACACTGAAAATGCTTACCAGGGAAATGCACAAGATGGTGCAGAGGGAGAACATGTCCCTCAACAAGAGAAGCCTTTACTCCAAACCATGGCACAGTGATGCCTGGCTGCAGGCCACCTGAGGACCTGGGCACCTTAAGTCACTTAAAAATCAATCCCAGTCCAGCTGCTGCCCCACCAGACACACTCACAGCAGAGGGCAGGTTCACACTGGTGGTCCCTACATCTGCTCTGATACCCCCACTCCCACCTCCCTCAGAGCCCTCTGGATGCAGAGGACAGTGAATCAAGTGCCAAGTCCACCATCATGATGCCCTTCCTACCCAATGCCCAATGTGGCTATAACTCAGGCGTCCACCCCTCTTTTCCACATCAGAATACTGGAGAAAGCAGCAGCTTCTGAGGAGACAGAGACAGACAAGCTCTTTCTTCACCCCCTCCTGGGCTAGGGTCACGCAGAATCCTGGGCACTGCTCTGGGGAAGGGGAGCATCTGCCATTTTTCTGATGCAGCCACAGCCCTTTCCAGCAGATCGCAAATCTTGAAAGATCACCACCCTGCTCCTCGGAGCACCTAACCAATCCCTGGAGGGTAGCCCTGGAGGTCACTTGAGAAGGTGGAATTCACTCACTTTATGCACTTGATTAAGGCTGGGAAATAGATGCCTGAGTTGCCTCTCAAGATAAAAACCAGGAAAATGCAGTAACTTTTATGTAGATTCTTATATAGTCATTTGGCAATATGAAAAGGATTGAATGACCGAGTTAAAATACCTACAATTTTCCTTGGAAAACATTCTAAGACCTAAAGTCATTAACTGTGGAGAATCCTAGAAGCTGGGTGGAGTCAACGGCTCTGCATGTCCGCCACCCCCAATGAAACCCAATAAAGAACAACCCTGGTTGAGGCCAGGCACCTTGGTTTGTCCCCAGGGTTTATTTAGGGACAAACCTTGTCCCCAAATTTCCACAGCATGCTCCAGGCTTGCCCTGGGCCCTGGGGAGCCCTAGACTGCTCTTGTGCACAGTGTTGGGACAGCTGGGGAACCCAAAGCTCTCTGGATCTGGCCAGTGGCCCTCAGCCACTTAGGTTTCTTGGAACACAGCTAATGTGTAATCTTTTTTGTAGGACTTCTTGTCACTACTGAGTTCATCAGGCAAGCTCTTCCCAGTAGTTCTTACTCTGGAGGAATTTCTGTGCCACCAGCCATGACCAATTTCAGTAGCTTCCAAATAATTTTTCATAAGAGACTCTTTGCTTAATCTCATTTGCTTGTGTAGATTTCTGCAAGGCCTCAACAGAGAAAGGTCTCATCGTAGGCAACTTACTTAGCCTCCATGAGTTTCAGCGTTGTCTTCTACCGGGCAGGAGTATCATCCGTTAAAAACGATGCCCATAAACCCTTTCCTCTAATCAGCACACGGTGGCTGGGAAGAAAGGACAGTCCTATAAGAGCATTTCATCAGGACTCATTCTGTGAGCAGGTAGACGGGCACAAAGCATCCAAAACCATGTCTTTTAGTACCTTGTAAGAAGTTTGCACAGTTCACTAAAATCACTCTGCATTTGAGCCTTGGCTTGCATGAATGCCAAGAATTACCAGCTTATTTCAGACTTCTCGGTATTATTCTTGTTTCTTCTCAGAAAGGTTAGGGTCACACAGGCTACCTAAATAAGTAACTTCTGTAGTCATTGAGGGCTAGAATAAGCAAAGCAGAGAATTTTGAAAAACCAATCAATTCCTAGAAGAGTGGTGATTCCTGACAGCAGCTATGGAAATCCTGGGCAGAGGGGCTGCAGACAAACTGGCTGCAGGTCATCAGTGAAAATGCCATCCACTGTAGTGCGGTGGCCCAGCAGCACCCTGGGTAGACATAGCTTTGTTTGCTTCCAAAATTGCATACCCCAAACATTTTAGTCTAGAGGAAGTCACTGGTTCGTGACAGCCTACTGATGCTGGGTATTCAGAGAAGCTGTTGAGGCCTTCATGCACAAGTCCAGGATCATCAGCTGCCCAGAGTGAAGCAGGCTCTTCTACGGGTTGGGTCTCTCCAGCATCTGCTGTGTACTACCCACAGGCTCTGGTCAGGGTACAGAGGGACCCAGGCCTCGCAGGCCCATAACATGACCACAGTAGACAGAGATGAAATCAGGAAGCTTCGTGGCTATACTAAATCAGGGCTAATGTGAGACCCTGAACTGAAAAGAGAAATCCTAAATAACAGGCCAGCTCCAGGGGTCCATGGCTTGCAGGAAAAGCTCGGATCCCCATGATCCACAGTCTCCCTCGATTCCTGCCATGCCACTGTGGGGACAGCTCCCTGTTACTCAGGTTCCTTTTCACTGAGAAGGAGCTGTTTCTTGGTGACCCAGGCCAGTTCTCCCAAGTTCAGGAAATACAGTGGTAACAGAAACAGAAGCTTTGAGAATCCCCTCTAAATTAGGGCTCCATGAGGGCAGGCTTTCAGGACAGGAAGAAGATACTACATTGCACATCAGTGCAGAGTCCTAGATTAATACCTGCTCAACTCTGGTTTTCCTTTGAATCACTAAGAAGTGGGAACAGCCACAGGGGAAAGAAGGCTCCAGGGACCTGGACTTCTGGAGGGTCTGAGATAGTTCCTCCCATATGGGGGAGTGAGCAACCATTTTCTGCAGAGATAGACTGTCCATGTTTTAGGTTTTGAGGGCCATACAATCTACGACACAATGATTCAACTCTGCCAATGTATCCTGAAAGCAGCCACAGACAATCCATATACAAATGGGCACAGCTGTGTTCCAATAAA